CAAAAACAGACATAAACATCAACACGCATTCTCATACAGGCACGTGCAACACTAAAAGTTTACACCAAGAGCAATGTCTCTGTCCCTGGTTCGGGAACTTGCCTCCCCATCGCCTCAGCTTTCTCCCAATGGGCTATTTCAGCAGAATCTATTCCCTAGGCCTAGCATTTCCGTTTCTCATCCTCGGCAGGTCGCTTATGACTATGTACTTAACCTCCCATGTTGGAGATTTCTCGTACTCCCCCAGATCTGCTTCATCCCTCTCTGGCCACTTCCCTCACAGGAGAACAGAACCACAGATCAGATCTCCGCACTTGCTGTATGTCCAAGACACATCCCAGTCACATATGCCCTACCTACGAGGACACCCAATCACCAAAGTAGTACTCAGTCCATTTCCTACCTTGGCTCATACATGAGGTTACCTGATTGCTGTGGGTCTTGCTTGGGCCCTTCCTGCGTTACTGGCTGACTCTTGATCCTGAGCTCATAGTTGGCCCAGGGGGTAATGGCTGTGACTCCTCACCGAGGCCGCCACAACTTGGCAGCGGGGTGCACCTCATCAGCAGAGGAGTCTATTTTCATTGTGGCAACAGACGGTATCCCACACTCATCCCCAAATTGTTATAAATAAGGTGAGTCACCCAAGTCAGGGGTTCTGGTAGAATACAAAACATACTGGGGAGCAAGACAGCAAGGCAAACATCTTTACTTCTACATAGAAGGATGCGCACACATGGTCTGGAAGTGCATGCACACAGAACAGGCAGGCTGCTCCGCTTTATAATCCCTGACACAAATGACCTGTCCCTTGCTCTTGATTGGAGCTCAGGTGCAGTCTTTCACGATTGGCTAATTCAAAGGAAGGGGTTGGCCTTTGCTATTTCAAGATGGCGGCCCCCCAGGGAGCTGCAAGCCATGCGGCCAACATGGCAGCTGCCAAGTCATGCAGTCCAAAATGGTGGCTGTCTAAACTGTTCTTTGACAGAAAAGATGACTTGTTTATTCTCACAGAGATCTGATGGGTTCAGCACAGTCTAGCCACCCAGGCAGCAATAGAGGCGGTGGCTACCAGCCACTGTTGATTCATCCCCATCCCAACTCTGCCCAGAGTGTATGGATGGAATATCCCAGCTCTGTGCTTCCTCCTGGGATAGAAAAGAGTTGATCCACGCATGCCATGCCTCCACTTCACCACAATTGCCCAAGGAACTAGCATCTGTCTCACCAATCCTGGAGCCCTGATGAGTCCCGCACACTCTGGTTGTCAGGGAAAGAA